AGGATGGAATTGGATCAGAATGCTCAAATAATATTTCGCAAACTGCATTTTAAAAATATATGAAACTCCAAACGAATCTGTTTTGAATTTCTTAAAATCCATAAAATCATTATAGAAACGGTCTAGAGTTTGAAAATTTATTCATAGTAACATCTGAAATTGATACCTAATTGTCTGATACTTTAGCACAAACCATTTTAAATATAATTTATAATATCTAGAATAATAGTACATTGTGGATTTCATATGTTTTTCTAGTAAATATAAATAATTATCAATAAAAACTGAAATATATTTCAAACAAATTCTGTTATATAATTTACAATTCTGACGTGATCAAATTAACTGCAAAAATGATAATGTCTGACTATTTCTTAGATTTCTGCCAAAACAAGGCAATTAATTCCTTACAAGGGTTTTTAATACATTCAATACTTAATATTCTATTATACGATTTGCATAATTTAAAAAACTCAAAGTACACCAGTTTTAAATAAAACATTATTTTTATTGCATAAAGAATAACATTATCGGAGTCTATGATATCTTAAATATATAAAATTACTTATGAATTCTTATAAGCAATGTGAAAACTACACTAAAGATTTAACTTGTCCAGACTGAAGCATTTTTGTTAATTTTTCAACTTCTTCTAGTGTTTTGGCATTACGAATAGCTTCTCTAATATTTCGAATTTCTTGCTGTGATAACTGTCCATTTTTCTCCTGTTCATTCAATTTATCACCAGGAACAAATGTTTTAGGTTTCTTGGCAATTTCTTTCTGGATGTCTTTTCCTTTCTTTGATTTAAATAATGCTATGGCTTCTTCACGTTCCTTTTGTTTGATTTTACGGAAATCCAACAAGCGTAGGTTTGGTAATTTATAAGCTACATATAATCTATAGTGTTGCTTTGATGCTACTGGATTGTTCATAAGACTCAATGTTGTTAAATGAGTTAAATGAACTAACGGATCTAAATCAGACAATTCTTGAATATTATTTGCAGTGAGAATAATACTTTCCAAATTTGGCAAATTTTCATGTAAATTATCGGCAATGACGCATAACGATTATATTCAGTAATAAACATTTCATACGTTTTAACAAGGGAAATCCATCAAGTTTTCTTATATCATTGTCAGACAAATAATAGTATCAATTGATCTAACGTTGCTCCCATATTTTCAATTTTGGGAATTTTATAACCTCTAAGATCTAGTTCACGCTCTTTTGCAGGATTTATGTACTGCAAAGACTGATGAATTATTTCTGGTGTTAACTTCACCATTTTGAAAGTATAGTATAACTGTGATAATCTGCTTTTATTACTAAACAATCAACTTTTTGAAACAAAATACACGAAACTAATCTTCATTGATATAAAATAATACCAGAAGCCGCTTATTTATCATTTTTCACGTTACCAACACAACACGAGTTTTGACGTTTAAAAAGTTTAAGCCCAGTGATGGAAAAGGATTTTCTAAATAAAGCCATAGATAAAAGGTACAAAGATAGCTATTCATTACTAGGTATATATATAAAATACATAAATAAAAGAAGAATTCTAAAAATGTATAATCATGTAATCATTATGTAATATTTAATGTATTTAATCTTATGTTCAAGCGGATGAAATAATATACGATTGTTGAAAAATACAAGAGTATTTCATTATATATGTATAATTCCATGATAATTCATGAATTTCTACTGTAAAGAAGATAATTTCAATATCCTTAAAATCTGTTTTTATTTATGCTTAAAATGGCAGATTCTGATTTAACTCTACATAAAGATTTAACAAATTAAATGATAAATACAATCAGTGGCGGATTTACAGTAGGGGCAGTCGGGGCTAGTGACCAGGATGGAAAAATTTGAAAAGTGAAAATTTTTTTTTAGAAATTAAAGAATATAAAACAATTGTTCTATTCATTTATTCTTTCTCAAATTTTTCCACCCTGGCTACTAGCCCCGGCTGTAAATCCAGAGTTAACTCCAGGCAAAGAAAGAAACCACTAGAGTGTCATCCTGCCTTAAGGCAAATTACTAGAACTTCCATTAAATATTCGAGTATCAATTATTATTGATCAATGATTAATAATAATTGTTTTAAATATTTTTAAAGAGATAACTTATAATTTTGTTCTATGGTGACGATCTTATCACTCAAAACTCTTTACATTAAGAAGAAATGTGAATGACTTGTTTATCTATGAATGAATCTATCTGAAGATATATATTTTTTACGAGTAGAATGACGCATATGAAATATACAGTTTTAAACTGAAATGTAAATTTAAAACTCATATTTGAAGTATAAAACTTTGTATATTTATGAAAATTTTGGAAAAAACATTTTTTCTGAAGATTTTGAAATTTGTTTGAACCGTATAAATGAACTTTAAAAAATAAAAATCTTGGTACCGAACCCAAAAAAAATGTAACAAAATTTGTTCGTATTATTGAAATATCTATAATTATAGGTAACAAAATTTGTTCGTATTATTGAAATATCTATAATTATAGATATTTCAATAATACGAACAAAGTTTGTTACATTTTTTTTGGTTCGGATCCGAAATATCGATATTTTAATTAAATTTAAATTTTAATTAAAATTTTATAAAATATCTGATAATTTATATGTGCATATGTCTAATGATTATTTTAGACATAGATAAATAAGCATAATGATTGTAGACCACCGTCAATACAAATAAAATGGTTTTTGAACCATTCAAATCGGACGCTCCGTTGTCTCAAAAACTGAATTACACATTTTGGCACTTTTTGTCTCGTATCTTCGAAACGGCTGGACCTGTTTTTGCCAAAACCTAATCAGCACGTCTCTTTATCAGTAGGAATCGAAAGTTTTTTGAATCATTGAAATCGGTTGATCTGGCCAGATCCAGGCGCCCGAAATCGTGGACAACTGATAAACACGAGATTGAGATGTATAGCTGCCAGGTCAAGACTATTTTAGAGCTAATACTTCTAATATTAGAATTGCATGTGCAATTCTTGATAATCTGGATTCTGAATTGCGTAAAAGATGTACAGCATATGAAAAGAATTAGTAAAAGTTATCAGTTATTATCGAATTTGGCAATTTGGATAATAACAAAAAGAGAAAGAATATTTAATACTTTATCTATTACAACCTTAACGCAGAACGAACGGTTTTTTGTCTTCCGGCAAGTTGCATAGTTGCAATGTCGTGAGAACATAAATTTAGTAGATTGGATTTTTTGGTAAGAACTTAAACTACTCCTTTCGAAATTTAATTACACATTAAACATTATACTATAACTCTCGCAATAACATTAATGTAAAAGATATTTATTCTGTAACTTTTTTGTTCCTTAACATAACTAATCTATAGCTTGAATAAAATAGTTTTCATTCAAGGAATAAATCAAACTTTAAAAACTAACAAAATATGTAATAAAACAACCCTGACTAATAAGATCAAAAATGATGATTCTATCACTTGCAAAAAATTTACAGTTTTATTATTTTTGTAGAAGATTGTGAATGGTGTAAAATCACTTATCATAACAACTGCAAATAGCTTAAAAAACTTATTTTAATCACAAACTTTTCAGTAGAAATTTTCAATCTTTATAATTTTAAATTTCCTATAAATTATTTGTTTATATCATAGCACAAAACATTTTAGTACAGCAGCTTAGTTTGAAAAGACCTTCATATCAAATTAGATTTATATTTACAGATAGTTACAATATTTTTCTTCAATTTCAAATAATAAAGTTCTTTCAATATTAAATTATTACAAATGCCTTTCTATTGAAATAATGACAATGAATGCCAATATCTTATGGCTAACTTTAATATATGATGTTAAACTTGAATGATGACAGAAATTTTTAAAATTTTACTTCCAAATTATGATAAGCAAAATGGTGAATTAGTCGAAGTTATAATACATATTGGAAAAATAAAAACACTGAAAAGAGTACCTCTACTTTTTTTTTATTATTTTAATAATTTTTATAACTGTCCTGAAACAGACAACAAGTAAAATATTTGACATGAAACTGAAGGCATTGGCAAAATACAAATCATCTGACCATTGCCAGTGATTTGTTGAAGATCTTATCTATTGTTGATTAATGCAGAAGAAATTTTCTTTTTAATCGGGCACTGGTAGAGTTGTTTTGAAGGTTTATGGCAAGCAAGTTTGGGTGATCAGCTAGGTGATTTCTATATTTGTGTGAGTAAGCGATTATTTCATCCTCAACTGTGCTAGTGCCTGTGTCTTTATGTATTGACCAATTTGAAACATACTTTGGTGCTTTCAAAATTTCTTTTAATAACTTGTTTTGGAATCTTTGAATTATTAAAGCGTTTGAGTTGGAAGTTGATCCCCATAGCTGTATGCCGTATGTCCAAATTGGTTTAATGATGGCTTTATAGAGGTAAATTTTATTATGCGTGTCAAATTTTGATTTTCGTCTGAGGAGCCAATAATATCTTCTTCTGGTTTCTTCAAGCTGCTTCCGCTTTCTCTTAATGTGTTCTTTCCAAGTTAGTCTCTTATCCAGGTGTAAACCTAGATATTTGACTGTATCTGTTTGATCTATAATTTCGTCATTAAGTCTTACTGCAGGATAAGTTCCTTTGCAAAGAGTGAAAGTGATGTGTTTTCACTTGCTGCTGTTAACTTCTATTCTCCACAAGCTTAACCATTTTTGTATCACGTCAAGATCCTGCAGCATTTTTGATGTGATTATGGGATCTTCATGTGTTGCCTGTGTCGTCTGCATATGATGCTGTCAAAATGTCATCTTTCTGTGGTAGGTCCGCAGTGTATGTGAGGTATAGTAGTGGCCCAATGACACTACCTTGAGGCACTCCCGATCTGACAAACCTCTACTCATAACACAAATAATAGTCATTTATTTATAATTAACCAGTTGTATATTTTGATAAATAACATACTTTTGCAGATGATCAATATGATTGCTCTGTAATTTTTATGATCTAAATAAATAGTAGTAGATTTAATTACATGTATAAAATAATATATATAGAATGCTGCCATTTTGCTTCAAACAGCTTTATGAGTTTTCATATGAGACTGCAAACAATGTGCTTGTATAAAGCCTTTTCCACATACCGTACAAACATGAGGCCTCTCTCCTGTATGGATTTTCCGATGAATGTTCAAAGCATTTGATCTATTGAACGAGCGACCACAATAATCACAGGTATAAGGCTTTTCCCCCGTATGTATCATAACATGATTTTTAAGACAACTACTAGAAATGAATTTCTTATCACAGTAAGTACAAGCAAAGGGTCGTTCACCACTATGAACCCGTTTGTGAATAGAAAACAGACTACTGTTACGATAGGCTTTTCCACAAACAGTACAAGTGTAGGGCCTAAGGTCAAGATGCATTCTCATATGAATTTTTAATTCACTATTTTGTTTAAATGATTTTCCACATTCAGTACATAAGAATGGTCGCTCTCCTGTATGTGAGTAAGTGTGAGCAACGTAAGCAGCACGTTGTTGAAAAGATTTAGAACAAGTTTCACATTTAAAAGGTTTTCCAGTCTCATGCACGTTCATATGACGTTTCATTTGTTCTTCTGTTCTACAAACCTAAAATATTTCTCAAATTATTATTTTGAAAATACACATAAATTATTAGGTGTTCAAAATTAAGTTTCATCACTATATTTTGATTCAGTGCAACAGTAATATAAATTAAATTCATACTATCATTATGGATCAATTCAAAATTAAGTAATGTATGCAAAGTTTATAAATATTTTTTATCATATACTAGAAAATATGTTAAAAATACAAGAATGCTTTAGTAAAAAGTCTTACCTTTTCACATATTGTACATTTTAACTTATTAGTTATAACACGATGTTTTTGCAAAAAATGTATCCTAAAGCTAGAAAGCCTTTTAAATGATTTTCCACAGGTTTTGCATTTATGTGAATTATTTACTACATTTTTACTGAGTACTGAGGTACTGACAGGTACTTTATTTATTTTGGTAACTATTATTGGAACAGGCTTTTCAACAGAATTTTCTATATCAGACTCAAGCTCTGATTTCACACTTTCATTTGTAGATTCTACAACTATTTCTTCAATCATATCATTGCTGGCTAAATCTTGATTTAAATCACCATCCTAAAAAAATATGAAAGTGAGGATAAGTATTATGCTTTAACATTAGTATAAACACTGTGTAAAACTGTGAAGTAATAACACAATTTTGCTATAAATTAGGAAAAATGTAACTTGCACTTTAAAAAATATACCAACATTATTAGGCTCTTTTTTAAGGCTTTCCTTTAACTGTTCTAATAAAATATCTTGATTTCGTTCACATTGTCTTCGGAATGAAAATGCTCGACTGACTTGCTGAATACATTTCACACATATTTGTTGTGGTAATCCATCATCCTTTTCAATCTATAATTTTTTTATTATTTACTTTTGTTTGTGAATATAAAGATATTAATCAATTAACTCATATTTTTACTTTTATGTATATTGTTTACAAACCTTTAAACTTGCGCAAGTTAATATTACATCTAATAACTGTGCCGTTTCTCCCAAAATCGTTCCAGTGGCAAAAAGGGAACGCATCTCACCAGTATCTAAGAGACAAGTTCTACATATTTCCTTCATTTTATTCATCTTTTTAAAATAAACTGTAAGATTACGATTCTTATTCGCACGAAAAGTTCTCGTGTGAATGAAAATTATTTTACTAAATGATACATTTGTTTTTAATCTCAAACAAATGTAAAAAACATCATACGTATTATTAATAAAATATAAATATTAATTTGAAATCACTTAAAAGTATGGTAGAGCAAAAAGTTTGACAGCCCCGAATGTAAATATTTGCAGCAATGCTACACTGACATCAAGTGACAACCTATGATCAGGCGTGCTAACATATGAGCACAAATAACATATTATATAGTGCAGGCACGCCAACAGTCCGCTGACACAAGTCCCTAAGGTCTTGTTAACTGAAATAATAATAATAACTCACAACAACACTCATAGATAAATAAGCATAATCATTGTTGAATTATTATTGCATAGATCAATTGTTTATAATAATTTTGAAATCTATTTTGTGTGTGTGTGTGTTTTTGTTTTCAGTCGCGCGTGTTTTTTAACTTCTTGTAGGATAAGTTATTATAATTGTCCAAAAATTAAAATTGAAAATTTTTGCATACTTTCACGTTTTGAAGGTTTCTGAACATTTTTGCATACCTTAAGAAATGGACGAGTGTGTGTACGTATGTATAGATACAATTTTTTGTCCACGTTTTTGGGCGCACGGATCAACCGATTTGAATATTTCAAAAATCATTCGATTCCTATTGATAGGAAGATGTGCTGAGTTTTTGGCAAAGGTCGATCCAGCCGTATTTGGAGTGACGTAGCAAAGAGTGCATAAAATAAAAGTCGAGTAATTGAGAGAACGGAGCATGCGATTCGAATGATTCAAGTAAGATTCAATTTGTAATGACGGGAACATATGTATAAAATTAGTAATTTGTAGTCCACTGAAGATGACATAAGATTATATGTCGAAGTGTATGGAAATAATAAAGATGTTATAAGTTTTACAATTTTTTAATTGATTTATTGGCCTAAAGATATATAGTCTCACATATTTCAACATGAAAATTACTAAAATATTTTAACATATATAATAATTTAGAAATATGAACTAACATCACTCTTTATTGCACTAATTTATAAAAACCAATTTCACAAACGTTTCAGGACTAGGTTTGTCTCATCATCAGTGTATTATAATTTAAAATATAAAATATGAATGTAGCACTATGTGTTAACTGTTCCAACTTGTTCTACTTACTATAAGCTAAATTTGCAGTAAAAACCGAAGCTATGGCAAGGCTATGTTACATAGCGCTTCTCATACAAAATATTAGTACTTGTAATGCAATAAAACCTAACCTGAAAATCGCACAAATTAAAAAAAAACAATGTTATCATCATAACTGCATCTTTGTGATGTGGCATAATAACATATGAGTAAAGTTGTATTTTATGTGTAAAACGCCTGATCGCATAGTAAATACATGGCAAGTATTTAGTATCATTTTGTATGAGAAGCGCCACGTACATAGTCCTGCCATAACATTAGTCTATTTAACGGCAGAATTGGCCTCTAAAAGTTTCAATACAATTTTTATAGGCTAAATGTGTCACGTGATTTGCTGTTATAGTTGCTGAATATATTCTGTAATTACTACAATTCTAATTCAGCTTACAATGATCTTGCAAATAAAATTAATAATTTATTTTTCGAATACAACATACATTCTAATGGTTTGTTTTGGGTTTGTTAAAATTATTTATTTGAACTCAAAAACTTTACATAGTAGTCATATACAACTAGTTCCTGATATACCATATTTAACTATATTTACGCTACCAAAATAGTTGTGTACAAATTTGAGTTTTTAACTGCCCCTAAGGTAAGTTATAGTAATGGGCCGAAAATCGAAAATGAAAATTTTTGCATATCTAGATTTCTGAACATTTTGGCATATCTCAGAAAAAATGGATGTGTGTGTGTGCAAAAAATAGCTGTTTTTGAGAGAACTGAGCATCTGATTTGTATGATTCAAAATCCGCTTGTTTTGACAAAGTAATTGCTTTTGGAAAAAAAATGATTTAATTTTTTTTTCATTTCTTTATGTTTTAATTCTTTTTGTACACCGAAAATAATTCAAAATTTAATTTTAATTCTGGCTAAAGTTCTAGAAATCACTTATATACTCTAAAATGAATAATTTTAACTCTGTAATTTAGTTATTATAATTCTTATAAATATTAGACAATGTTGTAGCATATATAATAATCCATTTGAAAACATTTAATTTTCCTCGAATATTTTATTACGGTACGGAAAGTTCCAGCAATTTGCCTTAAAGCACGATGCCATACACCACTAGTTATTGCTATATTTGTTATTTATACTCTTTTATTTATTGTTTTACAATGAATATTGATACATAGTTTAAGTAATGTTTAATAAAGTATTAATTATTAATTTAAAAAAACCATATTAAAAAGGTTAAAGAACCTTTCCTGAAAAAAGACTCAATTTTTTGCGTGACAAACTGTGTGTGTATTTTCGTCATGGTCAGCGAACATACCATACCGTAAAACTTTATGGGCATTTTACATTGGAAATTGAGTTAGTATCTCTAAAATCGCGGTGACACAAAGTTGTGTGAATTTGAAACCATCGATACTTCGGGCTGGAATAGTTACCGGTAAGTAGCAAAAAATATATTTTAATTTAATTAAAAATGTATGAGAATTCTCTCTCCTATATGTTATAATATTTATTTATATTTTTTTATTTATAATTTTTCAATTAGTCTTTTCATGATATTTTTTGATGAGTCTCCATTTATTAATTATTTACTATTTCTCTGAAGTTAATTTTAATCTATTTATTTCTATCTATTTAACCTGCTATATTTTACATTGATCTATTTTTTTAGATTTACCTAGGAAAGTTGATGTTTTCGTATAAATCGGATTTACTAATTTTGTTTTCAAACGTTCTATACTCAAAAAATTAATAATTATCTAGGCACAATGATTAGGAAAATTATGTTTGTTAGAAAAATTTATTCAATATTTCTTTTGATAGTATTGTAAGTAGAAGGAAAAATTCAAGAGGCGACTTTAATAATTCCATTCGAAATTTTCTACAAGAAACGATACATTTCTACATACAAAAATCTTGAGTGATGATTTTCCGGTATGGATTGGAGTTACCAGTTACAGTTAAAACTGAATTTTAGAATTGTATAAAATTTTCGACCCATTTCAAATTGTTCAAGAATCATTCGAATAATATTAATCGAAAATTAGGTTTGATTATCATTGCTATTCATCGAACTTACATTGTGATTGGAAGAGCTAACACATATTGCAATTTATCGTTTTTTACTCAAGCATTGTTAACAATTTATATATGGTAATGTTGCTTAAGCCGTACCACTGCTGAAGTCGTACCCCGGCTACATTCGTCTGATAATTATAAATTACTTCATCTTTTAAATAAAATTATTTAGCTAACAATTGGTAGATTCGCCGAATTTGTGAAATGATCCAAAAGTAAGCTTTTTGTAAAATTTCTAATACAATATAAAGGTTCTAAATTCTATTCTTACTAAAGTTTATTTATATTACTTATTTGATAATCGTTTAGAATTGAAGAGTAAAATGTGCAAACTTGTGCAAAATTCCTTACACGCACTAATTTCTTCAAAGAAAGAATGGATAAATACAATATTGCAAAGCTCAAATTGAAAAACATCAAGTGGATGTAATCAATAACGGCTGTTATTTCTTGTACAAATTCCATCTCTTTTCTTAGCACTCAGAAACCTAGTAATTTCTTAATAGGCTATAATCATATAAGTACATGCGTACTTTTTGTGATTCTTATTTTATTTTAGGTTTTATTTAAGAACATTATGACCTTAGTCGTCTCTACAACTAAAGAACTTTATAGAACTTCAGTCTGAGATCGTTATTTCTGTAGTTAATAGTAGTTACCAAATCTCTAACATATCGTTCCTAAATAAAACCTAAGTAAGATAAAATGTCAGTGACACGTCTAAGGCGACTAGACGCAAAAAGTATATTTTTAAAAAACGTAGTAATGCCTATTTTATTAAAAAAAGTAATTGTTGATCTTAAGATAATAGAATAAAACTTTATTTCTTTAGAGAGTACGACTTAAGACTTATTTTATTACATTATTACTCAATAATTCTGATCGTATGTTTAGGCTATTTTTGAGACAATTTTTATTTAAACATTTAACAATACTTTAACTAATAAATCATTAAAACAATTACAAATTGAAACTTATAATTTCAGTAATTGTTATTCATAAGCCAGGAAATTGAAGATTCACGTCTAATACGTCTAAGACTTTCTAATTAATTTAACTGCTCTTAATATATATAATTATAGCATTATTTCTTAAGGAGTAACAAAATATTAATACAATTTATTTTAATATATGTTTCAAATCAAAATCGTCAATGCTACTTTATTGTTTGCCATTGACAAGTAAAACTATACGTTCAATTTTAACATACTATTTCGACACATCCTGACAAAGTAACAAAAATTCACATGAATTTTTCGATCTATCGTCGGACATCTCGCAAAGGTGAGCATTTCCGGACCGGAACATCCTGTTCATAGAATTTAGATCCGGTCTTATTGTTCTCGTCTACTGACCGCTCGTCGCATGACAAATGAAATCATTGTGAAACCAGGAACGCACGATACTCACACGATCATTTGAATTAAGCACTTGTTACATATTATACGCGCCTTTTGTAAATTCAATTAACCTAGTGGAACTTTAAAAAATAAAAATCTTGGTACGGAACCCAAAAAATGTAACAAAATTAGTTCTCGTGTTTAAAATATCTATAAAATATCTGATAATTTCGCCAAATATAATTTTTTTTTACATTTTCCTCTGTATCTCCGAAACCGCTGAACCCGCCATCCCAAAAATTTAACCAATTCCCCATTTCGTCAATACAAGTAAAATGTTTTTAAAAACTGAATACTATTTTTGACACTTTTTGCCCCGCACCTTCAAAACGGCTGGTCCTGTTTTCGCCAAAAACTACTCAGCACGTCTCCCTATCAGTAGGAATCGAATGCTTTTTAACTTCCCGTAGGGCAAGTTATAGTAATCGCAAAAAATCGAAAATGAAAATTTTTATATATCTTTACGGTTCAAAACCCTCTGAACGTTTTGGCATACCTTAGAAAAAATGG